TCGCACTACTCTCTAACGGAGGAGGCAAAATATGATTGGAAAAATTAAGGGTGAGGATGGTCAGTGGATGGAAGATGAAAAACGGGTATCAAATTTGGTGGAGGATCATTTTAAATCTCTTTTTACCTTGGAGGGCTGTAACGATTGGGGGGATATGTTGGATTGCATTATACCTCTTGTTATGGAAGCAATGAATGCAGAGCTTATCAAACCGGCTAACGATAAGATAAAAAACGTTATTCAACAAATGGGGGGACTGAAATCCCCAGGCCCGGATGGATTTCAAGGTATTCTTTACCACTCTTATTGGGACATTATTCTGGAAGAAGTACATGGTTTGGTTAGGGATTTCATGATGGGTGTTGGAATTACCAAGAGAATTAATTCTACATATATTGTTTTGATTCTTAAAATTGTAAGCCCTAAATCTGTGTCCCAATACCGGCCTATCAGTCTATGTAATTTTTGTTTAAAGATCTTGCAGAAGCTGTTGGCGAATCATTTGAAACCATTGCTGCTGGGTTTAATTTTGCATATGCAAAATGCGTTTGTGGCGGATCGGCAAATCCAGGAGAATATTGGGATAACTCATGAGCTATTTCATTTTCTGAAGTTGAGGAAAGCTAAGCGAAAGTATGAATTGGGTATCAAACTTGACATGCACAAGGCATATGACCAAGTTGAATGGGATTTTTTTAGAATCAATAATGTTGAAAATGGGCTTTTGCAGGGGTTGGACCAATCTGATTATGAATTGTGTGTGCACGGTGGAGTTTGCGGTTTTGATAAATTGGAAGCCTGGGAACCATTTTTTCCCATCCCGTGGAATCCACCAGGGTGACCTCCTTTCTCCATATCTATTTCTCATGGTTAGTGATGTCTTTTCTTGGCTTATTCAAAGAGCGGTGGACTAAGGGGAGATTAATGGTATCCAAATGAATCGTCATGGGCCCAGTATTTCTCACCTGTTTTTGCGGATGATACTCTCATTTTTCTTCAAGCTAAGAGGGAGAGCTGTGAAAATATATTGAATATCCTCAATAATTATTGTAGGGCATTGGGTCAAATGGTCAGTCTCCAAAAATCCAGTCTTTATTTGGGCAGGAATGTTCCTCCTAACTTGCAGACCCAACTTAGTTCAATACTTGGGATGTCATCGGTTTCGAACCCGGGGGCGTACTTGGGATTGCCAACTATATGAGGAAGATCGAAGTGTCAAAGCCTTGCCTATGTTAAGGGACAAATGCTTGGGAATATACAAGGATGGAAAAAGACATCTCTTTCACTTGCGGGGAAGGAAGTTGTAATTCGGTGTGCAAGGATTCGGACTCTCTAACTGCCAGGTTTTGGTGGGGAGACAAATGAGGGAAAAGGAGAATCCATTAGGTGAGTTGGGACAAGTTGGGGCTGCCAAAGAATGATGGGGGACTGGGCTTCAGAAAATTTCAAGATTTTAATGACGCATTGTTAGCTAAACAATGTTGGAGGCTTATTCACAACCCCAATTCTCTTTGGGCTTGGATCCTCAAGGCTCGCTATTGTCCATATACTTCATTCCTTGACGTTAAATTGGGGAGTCGAGCCTCTTGGGCTTGGGAAAGCCTCCTTGCATGCTGTGATGTTCTCAAGGTTGGAACTCATTGGCAGATTTTGAATGGAAGGGACACCTACCTTTGGGTTGATAGGTGGCTCCCCTCACTTCCTCTCGGACACCCTGACCCCCGATGTTCCAATCATATTACATTGAATATTAAGGTCTCCTTCCTTATCTGTCAAAACACCAGAATGTGGGAAATTAAGTTCTTACGCCCTCTCATCTTTGTGGAGGAGTTTAATGCCATTCGGGATACTCTCCTAGGGCATTCTTCTAGGTGGGACATGTTGATTTGGTCAACTGATAGATGTGGTAAGTACTTAATACGGTCGGGCTATCATTGGATTCACTCATCTCAGTCGGGGATTAGGGTTTCTTAATCTTTATCCCCTATTACTTTGGATGATAAGGTTTGGAAAACAGTATGGAAGATAAATGCCCAACCGAAAGTTAGGAATTTTATTTGGCGAGCTGTGTTAGGGGCGTTGGCCATTTTGGAAAAGTTATTCTCTCGTTGGTCGGCTCCCTTGCCAATGTGCTGAATTTGCAAAAAGCAGGAGGAATCGGTGATGCATATGTTATTGCTTTGCCCTTGGGTTGAGCCAGTTTGGTTTGGTGTTCGCTTGGCTTTCGGATTAATGGGCATGGAATTTCTTCCCTTGGAATTTGGTTTGGAAGGATGATTGATGTGGCTAATTGCCTGTCGGATAGGTCACGTTTCCTTTATGTTATTTCCTTTTCTTGCTGGCAAATTTGGAAGGCGCAGTGTAGTTATGTCTTCAATGCATAAGCCATTGCTCCTTATCAAGTGGTGCATGTTATTTCCTTCACATCGGCTTCCTTTTGGCAGGCTACTATTCCAAGCTCTCCTATTCCTCGGTCACCTCCTGATTCATCTAGGCCAATTCCCTATTAGTGCCCCCCAAATGACCCATATATCAAACTGAATGTTGATGTAAGCTGGAACCTGGTGAATGGTTGGGCTTACTTGGCAACGGTGCTGAGAGACCACGAGGGTCAATTTGTGGCTACTTGTAAGCATTCTCTTGTGGCTCCGAAGGTGGTGGTTGCTGAGACGTTGGCAATGCTTCGGGGTTGTGAGTTGGCGGCTGAGTTAGGCTTGCATTGGGTTATGGTGGAATCAGACTCCGTTGGGGTAATCTCTTCATTGCAAGGAGATATTTCTAATGGTAGCTGGGAAATTTTTCCAATCTTAGAAGGAATTTGAAGTTTGGGAAATTCTTTCCAGAGCTGTCGTTGGTCTTGGATACCAAGATCGGCCAACCAGACGGCGGACTGTTTGACATCGAGGAAGAACATGGAGATGTGCGATAAAACTTGGGTTAGACGGCCCCCATCTTCATATGATGGTTTTCTGTGCCCTCCTTAATAGGTTTTTGCTGCGGGGGTGCTTTGGGGTGATGCTTGCTTCATTAGCAGCGTCTTACTATTCCTAACCCTAGCATTGCCCTCTCATATTTATGTTGCTTTGTTGCCCCTATAGTGGGCTTTCCTTGTACGTTTGGCTTTCGCCTTGGTTATATATGTTTCCAGTTCTTAAAAAAAACTCAAAAGTAAAGCACTACTGCACTTTTAAGGGCAGTGGTTATACAATCACATCAAGCTTTTATTTAAGTTGCACCACCATAAAAAGGTTTCTAGATGATCATATGGAAATTTGAAGATATGAATTTCATAGCTTTTCAAAAAGGAGAGGGAAAGAATTAAGGATCAAGCTAGCTGGAGCTTGGGACCTGCTTCTGCATTCTTCCTTAAACAAAATAATGGACAAACCAAAAGGGAAAAACGATTGTGACCTATTGCTTAAACTCAATCATGCATGTTTTATATTGCTAAAACCGCCATTGTTTAACTTTTGTGCTAAAATTTTGAAATGTCCATATTCAAACAGTTCTTGATTATGGTTGATGCACAAATGTGAACCAATTTAGATCTAACCGTAAGATTACACACACATAAGAACACAAGATATATGTGGTTCATTCAAAGTTGGGGCTACGTTCATGTTGGTGTAGCTTTTGTTTCCACTACATAATCAGGTTAATTACATTGTACATGAAGGCTCGCACTTTTGAGATGGTGTACAATAGCTAGGGTTTAGAATACAATAAGAGGCTCTTCCTAAATATGGTACAACAATTATTGAAGTTTTTATTTGTTTTTCAAGACATCTCCAATACACACTAGATAATTTAGACTGAAATCTTAAAAATCAAAATTATAAGAATATAGGTCTAACGCTCTAAGAATGCAAGCCTTTGCACTGGAGAAGAAACTTAAAAAATGGATATAATTGTTTAAGAATGTACCCGTCTAACCATTATACTTCTGCGTCAGTAGATACCGTATAACCGTCTTAGAATGTAAGTTTTTGCATTCCTAATTTTGTATTATGTGATTTATGAAGTTTGATTAATGGATAAAATTGGTTCAAAAATTCCACCAAATTTACACAAGACTCATGATTTCCTTTATGACTGCTCATCCAACGGGCTACTAATTTAAGATATTTCATTTAACAGGCTACTGATTTAAGATATCTATACAGTAATTAATATTGCTTAATTGAAAATCCACTTTACACTCCACTCCATACCTGAAAATATGAATTCACAGTGACGAAGCCAGAATTGTGGTCCAGGAGCCCAAAACGCTCTCCATATTACCACTCCAAACCTAAAAATTCCAGCATATCTTGCTTCGACCAGTTGTTTTACCAACTCTTTTATCCACATCTTTCAATTCCTAGCTAGCCAATCTTACCGACTTTTTTTTTTTTTTTCCTTTTTTTTTGTTGGAAATCAGTCTAGCAATCCTCTGGGGAACAATTTTGGTTAATCACTTGTGTCACTATCTTTTTTTAATAAAAGTGATATAGTGAAAAGGGGGAATCTAACACAAAATATTAATTCGCAAGTTATGTCAGTTTGCTAAAGTAGTATGTTCACCCTTTCATAACCAAGTTGAAATTCTTCTTCAAAAAGAATAGTTTAATAGAAAAGACATATTTCAAAAAACAAAAATTGAAACTTAATAGAAAGAAGTCTTAATTTGAAGAAATATTTCATAAAGCTAATAATGTGATGAGACATTGGTATGAATTAAAAGTTTAGAACAAAATATTTCCACTTGTGCAACATATCAAATGTTTTTTCGTTCGAGCACCAAAAAAAAGGTGCAGCAAGCAAACAAAAGTTTGTGGGTCAAATACATAAATACAGGAAATATAAGATATAAATTAGCGAATAATAAAACACGACAAGGACTTCCCTGCAAAAAATCCTCGATGTTTTTCGAATTTTCGGACCGTTGGCCGACAAGGTAACCGTTAAGATTCACAAACCACAACAAAAGAAAAACTTCCACGGCCTTGCCCAATCCTCAATCCAATACCCCACAAACATTGCTTCTAATCAGAAAACAGAGAAATCATTGACAGAGAGAGAGAGAGAGAGAGAGAGAGAACCCCATTAGTCAATGGGCTGCGTTTCATCGAAACTGTTCAAGAAAGAAGATAACAATGGCGGCGGGGAATACGTCATCAACCACGTCGTCTCTCTCACTTCCAGCACCTACGGCGTCCTGAACCTTGAAAATGACCGACAACCCACCAAAGACAGCGCTGAGGAGAGTAAGAGGGTGGCGAAATCTTCGCCTCCCCGCGAAGATCCGGAGGTTATCAACGCTTGGGAACTCATGGAAGGACTCGAAGAAGGAGTGCCCATCGCGAATCCAGCGAAGAAGAGCCCGAAATCGCGTGCTCTGCTTCGCGGGTTTGTGGATTTCGATTCGAGGAGTCCGTTCAAGTTGTTGAATCAGATCGGGTCGCCGTTGAAATTGAAGCGATATGGAGGGAAGGAGAATAGTAAAGGGAGAGTGGTGAATGTTAATGTGTTGGGTTATAGCCCGAAACAGGTTCTGAAGCCGAAAAATGGTGGTGAGAATTCGTGCAAGAAGATGTTGAATTGGAGCCCCGGCGTAAAAGGGTCGCCAGTTGCGGCGAAAAGGCAGAGCTTTGGCAGCGATTCGTCGCAGAGGAGTTTTAGTCTCCTGTTTGATCCGGAACTTGTTGCTTCTTACGAAAAGGAAATGTCTGAGGAAAAAGAGCAGATCAAGAGGATGGTTCCGCCATCACCAAAGCCCCGAAAATTGAGGAATTCGTCCAAGGATTCAGAGTCTATGCTGCAATTATTCAAGAAAAAATGCCCACCGGGGGGAGAAAATGCTGTGGTTGTGTACACAACTACACTCAGAGGAATTCGGAAGACTTTTGAGGATTGCAACAACGTCAGATCCATCGTGGAATCACACCTCATTCATGTTCTCGAGCGCGATATATCTATGGATTCGGGTTTTAAGGAGGAGATAAGGGGACTAATGGGTACCAAGGAGGTTAAGGTTCCACTTGTGTTTGTGAAGGGGAGGTTGATTGGTGGCGCCGATGAGGTGGTGAAGTTGGAGGAGGAAGGGAAGCTTGGGATTCTGTTTAATGGGATTCCAAGGGCGGTCATGGGATGCAAAGGCTGTGCCGGAATGAGATTCGTGATGTGCATGGTATGCAATGGAAGCTGCAAGGTTTTGGATGAGTTGCAAAAGAAGATGGTAAAATGTGGTGAATGTAATGAGAATGGTTTGATCCACTGCCCAATTTGTTGCTGCTAATTGTAATTCCATTGACAGATTTTCAGGTTTTCGTGTTTACGAAATCTTTGGTTTTCTGAAGGCAGAACAAGGATTTTTTTATGTGATTAGTGGGATTCTAAAGTGTGTTTTAGGCCCCCTTTAGATGCTGGATTTGTAGTTCAAGATTTTTTTTTTTTTTTTTTATAACTTAAAATTCTGGATTTCCACGAATTATATACAGTTTCCTGTTTTGTAAGATGAAATCCTGCTTTGTTGGATTTTTCTTGTGTTGTGAAAAAGGGCAAGTTACAGGGTTGGTTTCCATCCGAGAAGGTTTTGGGTCTCGTCCATGGCGGCCTAACTTGGAGTGATGGATTCAGTCGTCATGTTAGGAGTCAAATTCTTCCCACCAAACCCCCCATTCCTATGAGTAATTCTTTCCAAGAAATGGGAATGTGTGTGGTGTTGGAGCAGTCCCCTATTAGATTTCGACAAGGGTGGTGATGATCAGGAAAGCCTTGATTGTTGAGACAACCTACGCGATCAGCGTAGGAAGTTCATCAACATCTTGATAAGATATTTGGAATGTTGCGGGAATGACAAGAAAAGAAGAAGTTGGAGTTAGATAATTGAGGCTTCATATGACGGGGTACTTGTTTATAGAGGACACTACCATTGCAGATAAGTTATTGAGTTGTTCGTTTGAGCAAAACGTCAAAGAGTTAGATACAATCCTTCGACTTGGTAGATTATTTCAGAGGATCGACCCGAGAATTGAGAAAACTATTATTGCTTATCCTGAACGATCTTTCTTGATGCAAAATCTAAATGATCTTCGATTGAAATGATTGTTTGTAGGAGTGATCTTCGAATGAGGATTCGGAAATTGAACAGTTCCGATAATTGATTTATTCAATTAAGATACATTATTTGTAAATGTAGGATATGTGCATCTCCACATTGGCGGATGCAGTAGTATCCATAGCTAAAAGAATATTTTAGAACCAAATACTCTTCCAACCTAAACATAAAAGCAAATAGATCTGAAAATCTCCCTAGTTAACTTTAAATTCCTACACAGATACAAATCTAAAAAATATATGAAACTTCTCTAATACTTATTCCTTAACAAGGTTAAGGAGAATTGGACTCCTAACATGACGACTGAGTCCACTCCAAGTTAGGCTGCCATGGATGAGACCCGAAAATTGTCTTGGATAGAAATCAACCATGTAATTTGCCTTTTTCACCCGACCAGAAAAATCAAGCACCTGAGGCAACATCCGGAGGAGAATCAACAGAAACTTTGATTATCTGTGGGTCCTTTCGTCCGCCCTTGAAGGTCACCGTTCGATAAATTGACATATGCCCGCTCATAGCTCCAATGCCGATGGAAGGGTAGTTGAGAAAGTATGGAGGAACAGGTACAAAACTGCAAGGTATAGGCTTCCCTGTAAGCGTTTCGAGTTGGGGTCTAGAATAACTGGGAGCATAAAAATGCAGCAGGTCGTCCAGTTCAAAATCGTACAGTAAGCCGGGATTGAATGCGTTATCAGGGTTCAAGTGCCCGGATCCTATGTCTTAGGGTGCTGCTTCAGTTTTACCAGACCGATCGCGAATGGTATTTCCGTTGTTGTCCTTGGTTTTAGCTGTGCATAAGAATGGAAATTTGATAACATGTTAGACAACCGCTAGACAAGTAGACAGCGGAAGTTTAAGTTGTTAGGAATTTGTTCAATAATTTTTATCAAGGTAACAAATACACCTGTAGTCATTAAGGCGACATTATTTCCGCAGGACTCCATTTCTTGTATTAAGCTTTTAGAACTGCTGCAACACCCGCGACGTGGAACACACCGTTGAAGTACCTGAATGCATGTTGTTCGAAATTGCATCGGCGGCTTGATTTTTACTCGGTGGCGCTGCTGCTAAAATGTTGACTCCTGGTGCAGTGATGTCGGGCTGGACATAGAGAGCAAAAAAATCACAAGACTGCTTTTGCAGCAAGAAAATTTCAACTCTAATAGTTCTTTTATTCCTTGGTAAACAAGTAATTGCAAGCTTACTTTGATATTGATGTCAGGTGTTACAGAATTAGGTCCTCTCGAGGAAAACAACGCCATCTTTGGTGCCAGTTCTACACCAATTACTTCCCGAGTCTCCAAGATACCTGCGATCGGGCGTCTGGAAAATCAAACAATTAGTCAAACATGGTTCAAACTATTACTCATCTGCAAACAAACCGCTATAAATATGAATGAAATGTTAACCTTCTCGTAGCCATATAATCGGAAAGTTTGCGTCCTTCCACGCTACTAATTACCGAAGTAGGGAGATCAAAAGAAGGAAGCTGCTCGTTGAAGTTATCAAATTGATCGATGAGAATCATTCCAACGGCTCCGCCTTCTTTTATGAACTTTGCTTTCTCCACCACAGTCGTCGTTGATTTTATCCATGATACAAGCCACAATCTTTCCTCTCATCATGATTGAGTGTACCATTTCGTCAAAATCTGTAAATAACATACTGTCAATAAGTATTGAAGTTACTAACTTGACGAGCAAAAATAATGTGTGTGCAACTGTGCAAGAAAACATACCTTGCCTCGACGTGTGCTTCACCCCATCGACGAAGTTTACCCCATGAAGTGCGGCATCATTTGCTGATAGGAGTTGGTAAGGACCCTATGAGTGTTGGAGGTTGAATCCATAACCCTACAATTCATTATACAGATTAATCATGGATTTTCGACGCGATTAAACGAAGTTGTAAGGTTTCTTTAAAAAAAGTATTAGTTACCTTTATTTCTTCTTTATTGCCAAGACGTACAAAGCTAACGGTAAGAACCCAAGGAGCAACATTAATAGCTACAACAAGAAGCTAGATAATTTACCTTTCTACTATTATAAATAAAGGCACAACAAGGTGAGATAACACACTTCAAAATACACCTCAAACTAATCCAATTCTCTCTCTCCTTGCCGCCGCACCCCTCCCCTCTCTTCCTTTGAATAATTTCTCAATTAAATAGGTCAACAACAATCTTATCAATATTAGCCAAAATTTAGTCGATTTTACTTCAATAATAACTAAATTTGGCCTACTTCATAACATATCCTACAAAAAATTTGATCAAATAGAAAAATAGTTCAGTTATTAATTTTTATTTTATAAATAGACAAGCATAGTAATTAATCTATAAATAATGAAAAATATTCACAACAATAATCAAATGAAGTGAGTTTTTTAATTTTATGCAAGGAAATTTACAATATGGGGTTGGCAGGTTGGTTTCAAACTTTCTATCCACGAGATTCAAGCGTAAGATTTATGAATAAAGAGAAATACTTAAACGTGGTCAAATTAATGAAGTGATTTTTGACTTTGATGAATTTTTAATAGAATATGATAACTTCAAAATCAATTGTTTGAACTATGGTTTTACATTGTTCAAATAAGAGTACTTTATTACGTAGCTTAACTTAAATTTCACTAACCAGATATTTCCGAGTGCTCAAGAATAGTGTCGGTTAAATTTTTACATGAAAAATAGAGTAGGATTTTTTTCTCTTCCTATTCCTATTCCCTTTCTTATTCTCTTATCACAATTTGTTTTTTGTCTTTATAATTAATATAAAATATTAATATGATTTAATCGTAATCATTTAAATAAAATTTGAGAGATTAAGACACAGATTAAAAGGGACGATAATCCTCCTCCATGCAAAGCGGTTGGAGTCGGTTTGCTGTGTAGTACAGTAATTCTGACAATCAACAGCGCCCGGACAAAAACGAACCGCACACTCACTCACACAGTAACTAACAACACGGCATCCGATTCCACCGATTGTAGCGCGGTTCTTTCACCAGAGAAATCCTCCAAATTACCTCACGAGCTGCAACCAATAAAAACCTGCCACATTATATAAATTAAAAATATTTTCTATGCTGTCGCTTGGTGATTAGTGGTAGCCACTGTAAAACGTTGGAGACGCGTGCACCTGATTCAGCTTTACTGAGCAGCTCACACGTGTTGTTTTCTATGCAAGTGGTGCCGAGAGTGATAATAATATAACTCCCATCCCTCCTCCCCCAAACTCTCTCTCCTCTGTCTCCCTGCGTCTCTCTCTCTCTCTCTCTCTCTCTCTCTAAACGGCACTGACATTGGGCTCTCGCCATGGGCGGAAGAAAGAGGAAGCTGAAATCGTAAGATTTGAATTCTGAATTCTATATTTCTCAGTGAAAGCATTTCGTAATTTGCATGTTTCATTTCTTTGTTCTTTCACTCTGGATTTTGGAAATGATTGTGAGGATTTTATTAATTGGATCAATTTAGGTTTTATGGTTGAAACCCAAATGTATTTAAGTCAAGAATTAGGTTTAATTGATGAAAATTGATGTCAATTGTGAGAATTTTGATGGGTTTTCGGAGTAGGGTTTATGTCTGGCAAGATTGTGAATTTAGGGTCTTGGCGAAGTTGGGGTTACGTGAGTTTTTTAAAAGAATCTCAAATTGATTTAGGATAAAAATTAGGTTGAATTTGTTTAAAATTGGATTCAAGAGTCACAATTGAAAATTTCGACTCGGCTGTTAAATTTGTTAAAACCCCAGCCATTGTTAGATCATAGGGTCTTTTAGGAATGTAGTAATATCAAGAAACAAGGGGTAGGCTTTAATTATGGAAAAATGTTAAATTGATTGAATTCGAAGCAATTTCATGGTTTTCGGTTTCATGTTGTGCGCATTTTAATTTTTTGATAAATTTGGGCATCCAAGGTAAGGGTTTTTAGTGGTTCTTGTGTGATCATTTTTTGGTTTTTATATGAGCTCATTATGTTATAGTTTCATTAATTACTTGTTTGCCGATCTTGCTTAAGCAAAAGTACTGGTACGATCTTGTACGTTACCCAAAAAAATAGGGTAAAAGAATATGATAGTTGATTAGTTACAACCAGGTTTATCTCTTGTCGGTTGTGGGGATTGTATGTTCGCTTGTCGGATTCACACGTTGTGCGTTACCCCGAAAAGAATGTGATAGTTGATTAGTTACAACCAGGTTTCTCTCTTGTTGGTTTTGGGAATTGTGTTTATTGGTTGGATTCGTATCATCCAGTACGTTACCCGGAAATGAATATGGTTACAACCAGGTTTTTTTCTTGTCGATTTTGGGGATTGTGTTTATTTAACGGATTCGTACGATCCTTTATGTTAGCTGGAAATGAGTATGATAGTTGATTAGTTACAAACAGGTTTTTCTCTTGTCAGTTGTGGGGATTGTGTGTTTATTTGTCAGATTCGTACAGTCCAGTACAACTATTGATTTCTTGTGTGTTTCTCTTTAGTAGCGTTAACCTTAATCATATGTTATCGAAACGGTCGAACCTTTAGTATTTCTGAAATGACTTATATGCTCTTCTGTTTTGGGTGGGTGTGGATATGGTGTGTGGCTGTTTTGGCATTTGGGTTGGCGGTTACATGCTAAAGAATTCGGATTAATAATAGAAAGGAATTTAAATATGCGGATGATGTTGATTTATTCATATCTGCGTCTTAATTTCATGGAAATAATTCTTTTTCCTTTTCCATTTTGTTATAGCATACTCACCTCATATTTGTGTTGGAATTTATGATGTATAGGTTAGCTGAAACAATCACAAACAGTAACAGAAAAGTAAGCAAGAAAAAGGAGAAATTGAAGCTGCAAACTTGGTCTGACCTTCCTGCTGAACTTTTGGAACTCATTGTGTCTCGTTTAACGCTGCGGGATAATATTCGTGTGTCTGTTGTGTGCAAGAGATGGCACTCAGCTGCCATTTCTGTGCGGGTGATCAACCAATCACCATTGCTTATGTACTTTCCCAGATTTGGTGATCTATATGAATTCTATGATCCATCGCGGCGCAAAATCTACTCCTTGGAGTTACCTGAGCTGACTGGGTCTAGGATTTGCTACACTAAAGACGGTTGGCTACTGTTATACAGACCCAGATCTCACCGTGTGTTCTTCTTTAATCCCTTCACTCGCAAGATAATAAAGGTACCAAGATTCGAGTTGACTTATCAGATAGTTGCATTCTCCTGTGCCCCAACTTCTCCCAGCTGCATACTGTTTACGTTGAAACACATCAGCCCCACGGTTGTTGCTATTAGCACTTGTCGTCCTGGGGAAAGAGAGTGGACTACTGTTAATCTCCAAAACCGCTTGCCCTTTGTGAGTAGCATCTGGAACAAGCTTGTTTTCTGCAACGGAGTCTTTTATTGTCTGAGCCTCACCGGTTGGTTAGGGGTGTTCAACCCCGAAGAACGCAGTTGGAGTGTTCTTGCTGTTCCTCCACCCAAGTGCCCAGAGAACTTTTTTGCCAAAAATTGGTGGAAAGGTAAGTTTATGACAGAGCATGAGGGAAACATATTAGTTATATATACTTGTTCAAGTGAAAACCCAATTATATTTAAGCTGGATCAGACAAACATGGTTTGGGAAGAAATGACGACCCTCGATGGTGTGACACTCTTTGCGAGTTTCTTGTCGTCTCATGCAAGAACTGACCTCCCTGGAATAATGAGAAACAGTGTCTACTTCTCGAAAGTCCGTTTCTACGGAAGGTGTTGCATATCCTACTCTCTCGACTCTTGTAGATACCACCCTCGCAAGGATTGCCATGACTGGGGAGAGCAAGATCCTTTTAAGAAGATTTGGATTGAAGCACCTCAAGACTTCTCAACCTTAAATTGGTGAAAGTTGTAGTGAATAACTCGCGACAGCGCGATCAATTGGATGTTGTGCAATAGTATAGATGGGTTATGTGTAACAAGTTGCTTATTGGGGTCAATCATACTCCTTAAGAAACTCATTCAAATCTGAACTTCTTTCTTAATGTGCACGTTATCCTCGAGTTATGTAAACATTTTCAGACATGATGTACAAATGCTTCATTTTCTAAGTTCGTAAACTTTAGCTTCTCTCCATGTTTTAAGACCCCAAGGTCGAGTAGGTAAAGTGAGTTGCATAAGGTAAGGTACTACACGGTCGAGTAGGTAAAGTGAGTTGCATAACCTTGTTTTAGTTTAAGCGTACCACACGGGCGTCGGCAGAATCAAACTACATTTGATTTTGTAACTTAAAACCAACTGCACAACCACAAATGTGTACATTCCTTCGTACGCCCAAAGTACTTGATTGTCAATCCAAGACGCCATCTTATTTCCGTTTTCTTGAAACAAGAGACAGAACTCACTAATTAATACGGGTTGTAGCGACTGCGGCCACGACTGCTCTCACCGCTTTGCCTTCCACCACTTGAGCTGCCACCGCCACCACTTCTTCCACCTCGGGATTGCGGTGGAGGCATCTGTGGTTGTACTCCCGGCTGTTGCCTAGAGAAAGAAACGCAGAGTTCAACTTCAGAGTAAAAATAGGAACTTCCATATGCAAGAGATCAGCAGGCAATATATACGAGACTGATTTGTACAGGCCCGTAAATTAACTATGAGACAGTACATGCAGCGAACAAATACCAAAAGAAACGATACTTACAGGACATATCCAATCCTTCCATCAGGCAAAAGCATAGGCATCATTGCCATGCCAGCAGGAGTTGGTCCCCTACCGTATATCAGTGGCTGCAAGAAATTGAGACCTATATCAGCAAACATATCCAGAGAAAGTTTGCTAAAAACTGAGTATCGACATAGGAAGCATTGTAGGAAGTTAAATGAGCAATTTTTTTCCTTTTTGAAGTTGGTCTCACGGGAGAGACGTTGCAGTTGCTGTTGTCCAAATTGTTACATAAACAAAGAAACTTTTAATTTGTGACTAACTTTATTATAACATACAAATGCAGTTTCCCCGTATGTTCAATATGTCATCAGATTAACAGACAGTTAACCCTATTTATTTATTTTATGCCACAATAATACTATAATTTAAACCTTACTTGCGCAATTCCCGGACCACCATATCCAGCACCTAAGCCACCACCATACTGGACTACCCCCTACCATGCCATAACCAAGACGTGGTGGGTAGGTCGGAAGTAAGGCTGACCGTTGTTGAGTTGATGATCCAGAAGACTTCTGATCTGATTGTGGTTTTGCAAGAGAACACTCCAAAACTTGACCTATGACACATAAGATTATGAATTAAGATTCTCTACTGAAAATTTGGTTTGGACTACTGAGAATAGTAAAAGAGCATAAGAAAGCTACCATCAATTTCATATTTTTCAGTGTTCTTCAATGCCTTCATGGCACATGCCCTTTCCGCAAAGTGCACAAAACCAAATCTGCTCTTTTCCTGTCCCGCTTTTGCAGGTGGGAGAACCACCTTTGTGATCTTTCCATGATGTTCAAACAGATCCTTCAGCTGATCCTGAGTAATGTCTTTTGGTAAATTCTTGACATACACAGCCTTAACCTGTATCAATCAAAACAAAGATGTCATGACTCAAGCAAAATCCACAAGTAATAATGCAAAGGGAGAACAAGTCCACATGCGTAATGTTGCACATAGAAGTCAGAGGTCTAATGCGGTGGAGATCATGGAATGGAGTATTCAGATACTAAAAATGAAAGGAAAACAAATAAAGAGTATTTCCAGTTCAAAATTATTTTCAGTTCAAAGTTTCGAACTGTAAAGGAGCACATGTAATAAGCTCAGCATGATCCTTTTTCTCCTCCTCGTCCTCTGCATCAGCAACGATCATCTCTTCATCACCATCTGAGCTTTTCTGTCCATTAGATTTTGTAGCAGGTCGCTTGTTGTCATCCTCTTCCTCAACCTCCTCTTCAGGATCTTCTTCTTCCTCTTCCTCCTCTTCTTCCACCTTGACTTCCTCCTCCTCCTCTACTTCTTCATACTCAACCTCCTCTTCTATTGTTTCCTCGGGATCATTGTCTCCCTCCAGATCCACCCGCTCGTCAGATTCTACAAGCCTTTCAGATGCATCCCCAGAAACATTTGTCCTTGTTTTCGGCATCTTATATATCTAGAAAGACAAGCTTGCAAGGCAACTGTGAAGAAAGCACAGAGGCCAGAAGCATTCACAGAAGAAAGAATACAGAAATGGAAAGGTGGAAACAACATGAGAGGCCAAACGAAGTTGCAGGGTAAGAATTTCGAAAGAATCTGTGCCATGAGGTATGGATTCGAGGACTTGCAAAGTCAATGATTTTCAATTAAGGGGCCATTATATTGTAAAAATAGTAACAGAGACAGCAACAGAAGAATTCTGCATGATTTATCAAGGGGATGGTGATGCTCAGCAGGCGAAACAAACAATGAAGCAGTGAATTTCTCGGATATTTAGATATCGACATTTGACAGTAAATGGATGGTGTAATTGTTTATCTATCTATCTGGAGAGGTTCATGCACAAGGAGGACAAAAACAAAAAGGAAAAAAAACATGAATAAGAAATCAAACAACATATAGTGGAAATCATAGATATACAATAACACATTGTAGATTACAGCTGAAACAGTAAGAGGGTGACAAGTTGCAAAGCACTGAAATTTTCAGATTCTAGCATTCCCTTCGATATAAAGACGGCTATTACTTTCAATAAAACAAGATTATACTGAAGCTTGAGAAAAAAATGAAACCCAACCCGACCCAACCGCATCCCACTTTTTCTTTTTCTTTTTCCCTTATACAAGGGATATTGGGAGAGGGGGAATTGAACTCGTGACCTCTGAAGCAAGGGGGAATGCTATTAACCGACTAAGCTACAAGTCCCTTGCTTAATCCCATCCAATTAAAAAACAACTAAATGCCTCAAATTTTAGAACTTGTAAACAATTCCAACCACCCCAAAATTACCTTAATTTCCCTAGAGTGTTGTTATTCCCACCCCGTGTTTATCTCCCCGCCCACTTTTTAATGAAAATTTTAGTTACAAGTTTTCCCATTTGTAAAATGACCGATAAGGACCTTAAAAGATATATAATGATAATAGGTTGGGCACGAATAGGTAACAGGAGCCCTAGACTCACATTGGGTTGTGAAAGGAATGGACAATATGTAAGCCGAATTCGCAAAAAAAACATAAAGGATGAAGCAGAAGGAATTGTGGAACGAAAAGGTGGATGCCCTTTCTAGTTAAAGGGCAACAAGCTATAGCAACTGATGATGGTTGGATATTGATGCTAGTTATTGGAGTGCATAATCACACAACAGCAGAGCATTTGAAGGGTCATTCATTTTCTGATAGATTATCGTCAGAGGAGACTTCGTTGTTGGGAAATAGCATTTCAATCTTCTAACTTTTTATGGTGGGTGAGATTATAATGTGGGTGGGGAAATAAAACACTGGCTCTTTTTGCCTAAACCCAGCCAACCCACCAACATTTAATTCGTTTCCCTCTTTACATTTCTACACAGAAATAACACTACCCAAGTAAACAAAAGCCATTATTTTGCATTTTTAGTTATCCAATTAAGAAATGAGAACAAAAAATTGAACATTTCAACGAAAATAAGCCCAAAAAAAAACAAAAATTAGAGAGAAAAATCCAATTAAAAACAGTGTAAACTTTGATAGTACCTGGTTCGGTGATTCGAACAATTAATTCAGCTGCGGAACCAATTTGTTCAATTTGGAAACCCTAACTCGGTGCTCTGAGCTCGAACCCAACGAATGGAAACAAAAACAAAAACGAAAACGAAAAGGGAATTGCTTTTTGAGGTTTGAGTGTCGTCTTGCGAATTTTTGACAGAGATATGTTCAAAGTTCATTGGATATGTAATCTTTGATATTGGACCGTAATGAGTTAAAAATATTCATGATCAACCCTGACCGAATCATTGTAAGTTAAAATATTCATGTTATACCCTCTATTGCATTTTTGAATGACTAAACGATGGATTCATAGCAATGATCTTCGAATAAACATTAAAATTTTGAACAGTTCAATTATAAAATTTACACGTGAAAATACGTTGTTTGCAAAAGATAGGACAAAGTCCTCCATCAATTAGACAGCCCAGCTCACAGTTTTTGCATAGATTAGGCAAACTTGCAGCTCAAGGCATCAAAAATATGAAGTCGAAATAAAAATTGAAGGGTAAAGCATTGAATCTGCAAAACATGAAACAAAAAACTCAACACAGCAATCTCGCGGATAATGAATCGCATGAAGTTTGAAGGACTAGTAAAATTTGAATATCTGAGACTTCTGCATATGTCAAATAGCGAAGATCTTAATCACTTCGCTGCCATAAAATTCGAAAAACTGCGAAATATAGTGTTAAAACTACATGACCAACTACATTAATTGTCCCATCATGATGTAACTAGGAAGCGCCTTCCCGCTTACAACTGAATCTCGTTGTAACTCAGACGAACAAGACTTTATATTCCCCGTTTACAATCTGACAGAGCTGATTGTAAGTGTATGTGTCTGCAAATAGGTGACGAAAAAATTGAATTATATCAGAACCTGCAAAAGAACCTGGAATAGTAGACTCTAATACCCAAACGATTAAGCACTAAATAGACCAAAAAGATGAACTGTGGCATGGACACCGAACAAGGGGGTACATTTCAGGTTTCTCAAATTTATAACTACTTCTGGACATAGTTCATTGGTTCCAAAAGATTAAACACCACAGTTTGAGGACATAGATTTTGGGATGCTAAATTAACGCAAGCATTCTATAGAAGTTTCATGCAAGATAACCAATTTGAAGAACGAACATACCCCGCGATTAAAATGGGAACTCACTTTTTAAGGTTATGTTGATGCATGTTTAAGCTCCAGTTTATTTTGCTTTAAACAGTTAGGCAGAAACTGTATATTTCGGTTCTTAAAAGTGTCGATAAAATGAACTGTTTTCTGGCAACTTTAAGCTGAAGCCCCTTTCTAAAGATGCTGAAGCCCCTTTCTAAAGATTCAACTTCACCCAATCCCAAATCCAAGCACCATAAACTTCCGACAGTGACAATTACATATTTATTGTGAACCCTAGGTAGAAACTGAAGAAGGCTGGGGAAAAAGGAGGCATACCAGTTGTCTCTCCGAGGTTGGTCCACGTGTCAGCTTGGATGGACGTATCACTGTCAGCAATGCCTATGACCTCAACAAATTTTGTAAGACGAAACGTTGGGATGCCCTTCACAACTAGCTGGCTTTCATCAGTAGATTTTCCAATGATAGTTTCACCCTCAATTTGCACCACCTGAATCAGTGCCCGAACCCGCTTTCCAACATACAATCGCAACAACTCTGCATTGACAAAAACTGCAGGATTCATATCCTGCAAAACGAAACAAAGGTTGATTTCCTCAGAAGCTCACCAAAATCATAAACTGCTCATTGACAAAATAAATAAATAAATCGCATACAAGATGCAAAATCATCTCCAATTTTACAAAAACCCAAAACCCCTTATGCAATTAGATGGTACAGAGGAAAACCCTAAGAGAGCTGCAATAAAGTAGTTAAAGGGCTCGTTTGAGAGCTGCTTCTATAGGAAACACTTCCTTGACACTTCTGTTAGAAGTGCTTTTATTATAAACATGTCAAAAAATTTATTAAAAAACCAAGTGCTTCCTGAAAAAGCACTAGAAAGCTCTCCCTCAAGAGTGATTCTTCAAAAAGCACTAATGGGTCAGAAGTTTTTCACCCAAATGAAGTTAGAAGTGCTTTTGATTATCATAAACACGTTTAGCCCTTCCATAACAAAATCCCAAACAAGCCCAACAATTGAATATTTTCGGCATTCTTTATCTCATCACTCTCATGTGGACGTCAATTGAAATCATTAGAATATTTTCTTTATGGTGAAATTCGTAATCGATTTCGAAAATCAAACAATCGTGCGTAAAGCCTAATATAACTAACATCAACATGAAATTATTCTAACAGCACCCTGCTCAATCCAATTTCATACATAATTAAATAAAAAATGACGACAAAATCAACGCAGTAAATCAGCACTTGAAAACAATATTTAAAATCGAACAAAAAAAAGGAAAAAAAAGCACATTGAATCACTGCGTTTGGTTACTGAGAAACAAAAATCGAAAGTGAAATGAACTTTCCCTTTCGGCAGTTTCTCCGTAAGAGCCAAACGGTGGGTTTCTCATTCGAGAGAGAGAGATGGATTCGAGATCTTACTCGACGGCGGGGAGGCATCGTCGGAGAATGGAGTGGAAAGAGAGAAGTAGGGTTGGAAATTGGGAGGTTGAGCCACAGAAAGGGCTGGACTCCAAGCGCGGCAAAAATGAAATGATCAAGGGATTTCGCAGTGTGAGGATTTTATGGAGAAATTTTTAGTTGGAACGGAACACGAGTGGTATATCACGTGTTTTTATATAAGTGGTGAGAAATTTTATTTTTTCAGTTGTTAACTTTTTAACACACATATCTTACCATTTATATAGCGACACCTAGTGTACCATTCTGTATGACGATCATACTAAAAAATCTCTCGATTTTATGGGGGCAACTTCACCGCTAACCCTGCAACATGTGGATTTAAGTTTTGTAAAACAATTTCTCACATAAT